CCGAGGCGCAGCCTCCCCCGGCAGGCCTCCCTGGATTTTCCGGTGGGGATGGCACGGGTTTTGGTTTTTTTTGTTATTGTTGTTTCTTTTCCCCTTCCTCCTGCCTTTCAAACGGGGACGCGATCAGCCCATCTGCGCTGAGGCCCTAGTCTTGCCCTTCGCCTTCCCCACCGCCCAGGGCGCTGCCAAAACACCCACCTCCCGTGTCAGGGGGGAATCGGGCAGGATCGCCGAGTCCCAGAGGCTTTCTGGCTTTGAAGGACTTTCTCTTTCGCCTTGCCCAGGCCTATGGGGAATTGTAACAGTTCTATAGTTTGCGGTGGGGCGGGGCCAATACATGTCTAAGGAGGTGGCTGGTAATGAGAAACGACATGGAAAAGGGGATGGATGCTGTTCAACGTTATTTGCAGAGGTTAAAGATGTAGTATGTACAGCTTAGCTGAGTTAATTTCTCTAGGACCTTAACTCTTGCAAACTTGAGAATCAGAAGGCAACGTTATAGTTGCATTAAGATAAATATTTGCTGTTTATAAGCATTTACTATGGTGTAAGAGTAATGGGTGACTCATTATTACACTGCAGATAATGTAGCTGCTCCCCACCAGATTTGCAGTTAATATACCTAGGTGTATCTTGATTAACTGCTATAATCTGAACTCCTGTTCTATTGGGTTTAAGCAAATGAGCATCCCTGATGGTCCTCCCCCTTTTCCCTAGAAATAAATACAGCTATGCCTTAGAAGGCCTTAGGAAAAATCTTTTTTCAACCCATATACCACTTAGTAGTATCGTTTGTCCTGGTTAGCATAATGGTGTGTTACTGGTTATGCCAGACAAAGTAGTAACCTACTTTTTCTTCTGGATTTCATCCATATTAGAAATGTTATATGAAGTGAATACATGGGGGTTGGAACAAGGACCATGCTTGTCTTGGGATGCCTTTCTTTGAGTAATGTCAACTTCCTTTTAATTGTCATGCATTTTTCTAGTAAAAGCTCTGCAAGTCTGCAATAAAAATGGCCTCCAATAAAACTACATTGGTAAGTTCATGCACACCTAAAGTATATAAGGATTAAATCAACATATTTTTCTTCAACCTTATAACTTGGCATCTCCATTTGAAAGATACATCCACATCTCCCCTCCCCAGCATTATTCTGACCAAAAGTTCAGATCCAGAAAGTAAGGCTATTAGAAAGGACATGGTCTTTGGCTTTAATCAATCTGCCATTTCTAAGGAGAGTTGGGGAAAAAAATTAAGAACTCTGCACTATTTCATCTCTTGTACAAGAGAAAACACTTAAGAATTCTTTTATCCTCTTTTCAGCATACCATGCAATTAATGATCTAGGTGAAAAAAAAAAAACACAAAACAAAATCCAAATAATGTATTAATTTAATTTCTCCCAGTATATGTGGGGAAGACTAATTGCCTGAGATAAGGCAATATTTACAGATGGAAAAATGATGTGGCATAGTTAGGATGTCTTTTGAAATGATTTATAACAAATAACAGTTTCTTTGAATTTCATAGGAGCAGAGATTATCAGATGCCAACCCCTCCTGGACCGTTATAATGATGCATTCATGGAAATCAAGTCCTGTAAAGCTTTGCTTGACATTAAAATACGGACTTCTAAGGGCAGTTGGTTACTGGTTGCCATTCAACTATATTTTTGAAAGACAAAACTGAAAAAGTATAGTGTAAGGTGCATCTGAGGTTGAGGCGGGGAAGTAACCAAAAATACACATCTACAGTTCAAAATTTGGATAGCAGGGTATCTGATGTATAACAGACACAAAAGTCCTCTTAAATTTACTGAAATTATTACTGGTTGACCCAGATGGAGGTATATTAAAATCTTGTATTAACTCCTAGCTTAGAAGTGCAATGGAGGGCTTCCTTTGTATTGTACAATAACTATTCTAAAAGATTTCACCAAGGTGAATGTCTGAACTTTGTGTTAGTAGTTGATTGCCCACTTTTCCCTAATTTGAGGAAGAGGAAGAGTTAGCCAGCCTGGGAAAGGGGTGCCTCAGGGAGAGGAAAGAATCTATGAATGCAGTATTTTTAATCTTTTGATGTTGTTGAGCGTTGTGCTGCACAGGTCAGGAAAATCAGTTATGGTTCCCATGGGAACCATAACTAATTCTGTTTCATTATGTATGTGCATGCAAAACCTAAATGTATTACAGGATAGTGTAGCTCTGGAATTGTGATTCCAATTTTGTTACCTCTTGTATGTTAAAACCCTTCACCACAGTCTCGCATCAGTGTTTTAATCTTGCCCCTCAAAGAAGGAGTGATTATCCACTGGAGAGCATCTGCATCTGTCATACGTGACTTCCAAATGCAGAAAGGGAAACGAGCCATAGAGGAGCATTGGGTGGTCAAACGCCCAAGTTACAGTTTACAACATGCAGCCCTAGAGAAGGGAGGATCCAGGGGTCTAGTGGACATATAGCATCCTTTCACTTCAGTCAGGTCCCACATTCGCTTGTGGGCCAACATTTACATTGGCTTGTGTAATCTCAGGATGTACAGGTTTTTAACAAATGTTCGGTGTTTCTGCAGGCTCTGCAATCAAGTGTTATTTTAATAGGTTGGAAAGGCTCAAGAGTTTGAGAAGCAGTGCTGATGCACACAAGACCTAATTTAATCTCTAATATTTAAAACGGAAAGCAACATATTCTTGATTTATTTTTTTTTTAATATCTTACTGGACTTGAAGAAAAAAAAATACGGACCCCCATGGCATTCGTTTTTTTCTGTGAAAAATTATATAGATAAATTTAAGTCTTAGAAAGTTAAAAGAATAAAATGTTGCTCTGATACAGAAATCCAAAATATTTATCTTTAAGTGACAAGAATTAGTGAAGCCGAAAAGAGTGCCAGAAAACAATCTTCCATTGAATCAAAGAATTTTAGTCCAACGGAGAACACAGATGGAGATGTTCCCCACTTGTAGCCTGCTTGCCTCATCACCAGTAATTATAATGTTATTACTATGGTATAGTGAGTTTGTGTCTTTTTTTTTTCCCCTCTGCTTCTTTTTTTGTTTGTTTGTTTTCCTCATCTCTACCTGTTTTTCTTTTTCAAACTTCCATTTCTTGAAGGAAGCTGCCTTCATAAAAGCATTGGACATCTTTGTCTTTTTATTTTCCTTCAGTTTCAGTCTTACACTTTTTCCTGTGGAGGCAAAATAAGCCAGTGTGCCAAAGATGATGCTTTTCAGACATGAATGCTGTGGTCAAAAATACACCTGGGATATGCAGACAGTTACAATCTAATTGGAAATATATGTTCTGTTTCAGATAATCTCTCTTCTATGCTTATAAATAAAACCAAATGTCTCTTGAGATGTAATCATACACAGAAATTTGCTGTTTGAAGGAGAAACTTGAAACTTCCTGATCTTTGTTGTTTGCACCTTCAATTTGTGGTTTGCTAACTAGATTAAAGCTATTTTGGGGATGGAGGGAAAAGTTAATTATGAAAAAAAGGGGCAGGGGTTTGGAAACGAAGAATTGGCTTCAAATCTTCAGTTTGAAAAAAGAAGACAATTTTTTTCGTGTCTCACAGATTTTATTATTTATTATTTTTTACCATTCATGACATCAAGACAAAAGTCTAAAAAATCTAAAAATTTGACAGTTTCAAAATTGCTTCACAGTATTCTCAAACTAACCCACATTAAGGCCATCAAGCAAATAGAGGTGATCTGTGATTTTTGCTTGTCTGTTTTCAGGAAGTGCATTAGTGAGGAATTATTCTGTCCACTTTGATGTAGGGTGCTGTATGGCTATATATTTTATGAGCATAATGCTGCACCCATTAATTTACGGTTGCCACTTTAACAATTTATAAGGTGTGGTCCAAAATGGCAAGCAGACTGCTTTTGGTCTGCTGGTGCTCCAGAAATGTGATATGACAACATGATAGTCTAGTTCTAACATTTTTAAGATTAAAAACAAGGAAATTCTGAAATGTGTCCTTCTATTACTATTTAATTGTGCCTTATTAAACTGGGAATGCCTTGAGGATGATGTGGATGTAATATTTATTTTAAGAACTTAATATTATTTGAAGTATCCAATGTAAACTTAGAACACGATTAAGGTTTTTTTAAGTTAGCAAAATTTTATTTATGTGTTAAGTGCTGTACTTAAGTGTAACTGTCTTAAATTTTTGCACCTTTGTGACATCTGAATGTAAGTTACATTGGTGCGTGGCTAAGAATGAGGAGGGACTGCAGTAATGGAATGCTACTAGCATGCATCCTGTCCCACAGTTACACATTATTGTTGAGTATTTTGCTTATTGTAGCAATACGTCATAAACCTTGCTCCCATCAGCTTCCCCTTTGTTTTTGGAAAAGGTAGTACCCACCTTTTTTTGAGTAGCATTCCTTTTCTATGTTACGCGTTTTCACAGTTCCCTTATTACTTTTCTTTTCTTCTGCCTGATGCTGTTTCTCGCCCTCTCTGCCTTTTCATAGGCATAGAGTTAACTTTTGGAAGCTTCATACATTTTTGAGCATGTAGCGCTCTTGAGAGTTCAATTTGTCAGGGGAATGGAGGCACTGAATATATGGACAAAAAAAATTCACCTTTTTAGAAACTAGTGTTGAATATCTTATTAAGCAGCTGAAAAAAACACATTAACATGTCTTGCTCAGGTTACCTGACCACATGCACTAACGTAAAAGGAGTCTGAGCTTCTGGCTTTAGTGTGAATAAGTACATGATTCTTTGCTGTTTACTGAGCAAAGCTGGATTTGGCCAGTGAAGTAACCATGTAAAGCAAAAGAATGAATAATGTAATTCTGCATTTCTTTTGTAGCACAAAATGGGAAAGAAACAGAATGGCAAAGGTAAAAAAGTTGAAGAGGCAGAGCCTGAAGAATTTGTTGTGGAGAAAGTCCTGGACAGACGTGTTGTAAATGGAAAGGTGGAATACTACTTGAAGTGGAAAGGATTTACAGAGTAAGGCTTTACCTACTATTTGTTTTCTGTTAGAATGCTAAATTTTAACCTTTTATTTGAAATAACTATGCACAGAAGGGATTGGATGATAGGGATACATTTTAAAGAACCTTAAAGAAAGGACATCCATAAATGCATGATCAAGTGGGGTAGTCAAGTATTAAAACAAAAAGGAATGTATGTAGCTTAGTGTTTGTGCTACATAAAATATTCCAAGACTTTTACCAAATCCTTAGTGATCAATCTTTTACTACTGTTCTTTGCTTTAGCTTATGTCAGTATCTATCAGGGTAAGCTAGAATGATAGTTACATTTTTGTGTGAGATGGAATAAATGTTATTTTTGAGTAAGAAATTTTGCAGGGATTTAAACTGTAGGCAGCTCTGAAGCCATGAATGTGAAGCAGATTGTTTGCTTATTCTTCACGTTTCTAAACTCTCATACTAATTTACATAAAGAATTGTGTGGCATGGTTGCCTTAATTAGGCATACCTGAAAGGTATCAGTTGAGTCTTTCCCAGGACTTACGGAAATACAAGAAAGCCTTACAGCGGACTTAAAAAGTTGATTGTTGAAAAAGGCAGATAGTTCTACCTCCTCCCTCCTGTTACACTTTCTGACAGATCTACTAGCTGAAAAGAGGTGATGCACCTAGCATTTGAGCATAAGTAGTTACATATGCAGTCACATTATTGTTGCATACCTCCCAAAGCATTTGCATGTTTGTGTAGTGGTAAGTGCAAAAACATAAATCTGTGTTTAGTATTCAAGGGTCTGATTTGCAGTTGTAAAAATATGGTTTAGTAACTGGAAATAATCTGTAGGCATCCTGCTTGTGCAGTATTGCTGTTGGCAGTGTTTAATCGTGAGGACTTCTGATGAAGTGCTTGGTTGCAGGGAACATCCATGGACTTAAATTTTTAGTTAACAAAATGCACACTCACTGGAACATTTCCAGCGTCCAGTTCTGGACACAGAATCTGTAGTCAGCTGAAGGAGGGAGATAGTTCTAGGTACAGTTGGCTTGATGCTTGGAGACAGCTTTTGAGAGCTTTCCTTGATTGTAGAAGCTTAGATATGGATAGTTAGGCTGTTTGTAGTGAGCATTGTGTACATTTTGTTCTCTGTAAGTCTTAGTGCTCTTATCATATTGGTTTGTTTGCATGGGCAGTCTTCACAGGAACCAGGGAGGGGAGTCAGTGTAAATTGACAGGTCTGTTTTGGTAGGGTGAGGATTGCTTTTTTTAACTCCTGTGATCCCACCCAGATCATAGGAGTTAGTAGAGTTACTTATTCTGCATCTTCAGTTTAAGAATATTGTTTTCCAACACTAGCAGAGCATATTTCTTTCATTCATCAAATGCAGTACATCGAGGTTACTAAAGAGGGCAAGATAAGCATCCTTAGGTATAAGAAACTTGCCTTACATCATGAAAAAAAATCAACTTGCTTAAGGTGAGCCATGTGGCTAGTTTTAAGTTTTTCTTCTTTTCTTAGTTTTACATGAATGTGTGTTATGTTTCAGTGCTGACAACACATGGGAACCTGAAGAAAACTTAGATTGTCCAGAGCTTATTGAAGCTTTTCTGAACTCTCAAAAAGCTGGTAAAGAAAAAACAGATGGCGCCAAAAGAAAATCTTTGTCAGACAGTGAGTCTGATGATAGTAAATCAAAGAAAAAGCGTGATTCTGTAAGTATATTATAATGCACGTGCTAAATTTTGTTTTTCCTGTCTTCCCAACCTCTCCATTCCCATCCCACCAACATTCTGTTGTGACTTTGAGAATGACACCAAGTGTTTGTTTGAAACTGAAAATTGTACAACATCTGGATATGTGGTTTGAAAAGGTTAATCATTCATGGCAGTTAATGAGACTGTCCAAGTGATAGGTAAAAGATGATTGATTGACATGATGACTGCAGTTTCTTGCATTGTCCCATTATGCTGACTGAGTAATTGAAAGATATTATGTGGTTAGTTTGCATTAGAGCAAAACATTCATTGATGGAACAAAGGTAAAGTTCTGCTTTGGTTTTCATAGTTAGTATAAGATTTTAAATAGATGAATGGCAAGATGGCAAAATGTGAAGACCAGGCATGATGAAGGAGAGGGAGTGGAATGGGTGACTGAAGAAAGCCTACCTTTTCTTAATGGTTCGGGTTTCTCCTACAATTTAAATGAAAAATACAACATGACTAATTAAGTGCTGATGAGTACAAAATAATGCACGTACAATTATGTGCTCAATAGATCACCTTTTTCTCAGTAAACTTTCAAACTAGCAATTTGAAATTAATCTGGTTGGCAGTGTCAGTGATTTACTGAAGACAGTTTTCATATATGTGTTTACTATAAAAAAAAATTGGAAGGCATCAGAAGGAGCAGTCGATGAATAATAAAAAGGATATTTTGGTTTCTCTGTAAGGTCAGTTGTGCATCTGAGTCTGGTACAGTAGTGGCCACTGTCTCAAAAAGGTTATTGTGAAATTACAGGAACTAATACAGGAAGTAGTCGTGATATTCCTTACCACTAGTGCTATCTCATTGAGTTGAGAAGGGCTGAGATATTCCCCAAGGGTGCAGTTTCACAGCTGGCTTAAACAAACCCAAATCCGTTGTTACACTAAAAAGGATGTGTTTTTTTTACTTCCAGGAGTGCATTTTTGCTTTGCCTCTCTTGTTGCTTTTTCTGGCCATGTATGTTTGTTTACCTACCGTAAGAATTTTTACATCACTTGCTTCATCTGTTGAGTTTTCAGAAATAAATGCTAGAAATATTGATGTAACATTCCTTCACTGTTAGTCCTCTACATCTAAATTATTTGGCCTGGCATGAAAAAATAAAATTAATGTAATCTTCAGACAATTATATGTAGTTACAGCTTGTATAATTATGTAAGGGTATGTTTTTTGTTCTCATATATATAGATTACACCCTCACAAAAGAATATGTATATCTAGCTCTAATGCTGAAACAGAATTTTACCTTAAACTAGATAACAATCTTCTAACTTATTCAATAGGTTGATAAACCAAGAGGGTTTGCAAGGGGTCTTGATCCTGAGCGGATAATTGGGGCTACAGATAGCAGTGGAGAGCTTATGTTCCTCATGAAATGGTAAGTCTGACATCCATAGTTCTTGTCCATATTATGGGAGAGCAGGCAGTTGTACTTAGGCTAATGAGACAACTTCATTTCAGGAGTAAGGCAGCTGGTGATCTCCTTGCTAACCTTGTGCTCTTAGAAAAACAAAGCTTGTATAATCAATTACTACTTACTGCCTTTTTCTTCTGAAACCAAAAGAATATTTCACTTTTATTGGTTCAGTTTTATGGACGTAGAAATTTGAAAGGTGATTTCTGATCAAGTAGAGAAAAATTGGCATTTGTATGTCAAACCTGGATGTCTTGTGTTCTTGCTGAGGCAACAGCAGGCAGGACTCCAGCTTCACATGTTTCAATAAGCAGAACCAGCTGCAGAGTAGCCAGCATTTTAACCAACCGTAGTGCAACCGAGCGGGTAGAGAATTGGAAGGAACTGGTTGGGGGGAAGCTGAGGTTGAGATGAAGAAGAAACAGTATGAAGGGGAGTTTTATCCTTATGGGCTAGTAAGAGGGGAGAGCAAAGGGAGTTTGCATTGTTGGGAAGTTAGAGGGAGACCAGCTTCATTAGCTACAGTGTTGACAGAAGTCTTCTTGTCTCTTCTAAGTGAACAGGTAGGATAAAATAAATTTCTTTTTGCAGTGTTTCAAGCACAAGAGGTTGAATTAATGTTTGCTGGGGGGTAGATTTCTTGCAGTGGTGGGCTGAGAGAAGAATGATAGCTTTCCACAGCCTTTGAAAAGGGCATTATTTTCTGAATTGAGTCCAACTGAGTGATCTCCAGAAAAATGTGATGTCAGTTACATTAGTCAAGTACATTAGCCTGGACTGTGGAAGATTAGTGCTTTGGAAGATTCTTTCTCCTTTATGCCTTTTCAAATTCTTTATAAACTTTACATGAAACTTAAAAGAGTTGCAGAATACAGCTGGTGACTATTTGAATTTCCATACTGATAATTGTAAAAATGAAACACAAAAGAAATATACAAAAATGAGCTTTTTTTTTTCTTTAGTTCAGTTGCAGTTGACTACTTTTTCATAACTGATTGTAGGCAACAAACATAGATATGAGTACGCTTGTACAAACCCAGCTTGTAAAGGCAGCATGTCAGACTGGAAAGTTTGTTTTATTACCAGTCATAGTTTAACGCAGCAGGCAGCTAAATACTACCCAGCTGCTTGCTCACTTTCTCCTTGCCCTCTCATGGAACTGGGGAGTCATGCATTTTATCTCAACTCATGGCTTGAGATAAAAGCAATGTAATAATTTAAATAAAATAATAGAATACACAAGTGATGTGCAGTGCAGCTGCTCAGCACCTGCTGACCAGTTCCCAGCCTGTCCCTGGCTACCAATCCCAAAGGAGAGAAACCCCAAAACTGCAACCCCAGGAGAGAATATTAACCCCAGGCATATCCTGTTGACCAGTTTGGATCCATTGCTCTTGCTGTGCTCCCTCCCAGCTTCTTTCGCACCTGCACACTAGCAAAACATGGGAAATTGACAAGTCCTTGATTTCTTAGCAGCAACTAAAAACATCATTATATTACCAATATTCTTGTCACATCAAATCCCATACTAAATCCAAACCACAATGCTGTTCTAGCTACTAAGAAGAAAATTAGCTCTATCCCAGCCAAAACCACCATGTTACCCCAAGACAGCATCAAGAATAGCAGCAAGTTACTTGCATTAACAGGATATATAATTTTAATGTAAGCACCACATCTTAAGATTGATGCTATTGATTTTTAAAAGTCTCACTTGGAAGTTTTGATTATGTTTTAAAGACAAAACTAGCAAACTTTTCCTTTTTTTGTTACATACTGCAATAGTTAACTGTAGAAATGGTTCCCTTTGAGCAGCGTTTTCCTTTCAAACAGAAAAAAAAATGGAAAGGGAGGGAAGATGCAGCTGTGAAACCTTGCCATTAATTAGAATGGAAATTCTTGGTAGCTATATTGAAAGGTATACTGAAAACTGGTATCTAGCTGACATTCTTTTCAGAACTTATGACCTATCAGGAGCTGCTAAATTTACTGAATTAATGATTATGTATTTTCCTAAATCCTGCTTTCTTCTACATCAGGAAAGACTCTGATGAGGCAGATCTGGTGCTGGCCAAAGAAGCTAATGTGAAGTGTCCTCAGATCGTAATTGCTTTTTATGAAGAGCGACTAACTTGGCATTCATGCCCAGAAGATGAAGCACAATAATTGTTTGTGTTGCTTTTTTATATATATGAATATTGAAACCTGAAATTTGATTTATTAGCAATGTGAGAAGCATACATTCTGACAAGAATCAAATTTGGTATTTTTTTGAAGTAGTATGTTTTGCATCAAGAGCAAGGAAATAAAAGCTTTCTGCGACTTGTTTCATTTATCACAAGAGAGCATTTGATACTACTACTTCCTCCATATTAGGTAAAAGCTTTTATAAAACATTCATAAACTTCCATAGTTATTACAGAATCATAATGAATGTCTAAACAAACTCACAGATGTTTTGTAGTCTTCTATACTGTTGATGTGCATGTATCTTCTTTACCCAAACCTAGTCCTTTAAACCTGTAGAATCATTCTTTTTAGTATTTGGGAACACTTGGTTCCAAGAAGACCAAGTGAAAACTAACTTTGTAGTAATTTGAATGTTATCAGACTGTATATTGTTTATTGTAAATACTGGTGAACAGTGGTCAATAAAATAGTTTTATATTCTTCCTTTATACTGATAGGCTGTGACTCTTTTGAAGCGGTATGATATTTCTGAACTTTTGATATGTTAAGCTCTCAATTCGTAATATATTTAACTGTAAGTTGTTTTTTTTGGGGGGTAGATTAATTGATATACCCCATTGCTACTCTGTAATCACAGTATCAGACAAATACCAGGCTTTGATTCTTTGCATTTTTTCAGTGAACATGCCTGAGGCATAGTGAGGGTTTTTTCAGTCAGAAAGGGCCTGTGTGAACTGCATGTGCTTTGGATACTTGTTTCAGTCACAGATAGCAACCATATTGCTTGAGTATGGCTGCTGGTCACAAAGCCAAGTGGCCTCAGCCAGGAAATATTTGAGATGTTGACAGTATCAGGCTTTGCTTTAATTGCAGGTCTTAATACAAGGCTATAGTGTAATTAGTGGTGGTTTGTATGGAATTATTTTTCAGGCCATCATCTGAAGAATACTTGCATAGCCCTGCCTTTAAAGTGGAATATTTTAATGAAGATGCTTAAGTCATCTTCTATATACAAAATACTTTGGTTTTATTTCAGATTTAATTTTAAAATTCTATAATCAGCTGCTTGGAGAATGCCTTTAGAAGGGCAGAAGTAAGGGTGGGGAACTTGAGGAAGAAAGTTGCCTTTTTCTGTTCTTTTTCCAGCTGCCATTCCTCTTTTCACTTACTGTCATCTAGACACTTTGTGTTTTGACTACCATAGTATACTTTGCTTTGAGCTGTGCCCGTTCCTATGTTAACGGCCAAGCTGGTTTCAGAATTCCCCTTAATTTAGTCATGACTAAACAAAATAATCCTGTAATGGGCTACTGTCAGCCTCGTAGGTGAGACAGGCAAGATTGCCCAGCCATCTTTTCTTAGAAGGTTAAAATAGTGGGTATTCCTGGAAATCTTCATGCAGTGTGTTGAGGAATGAATTACAGAATTTAGGTTGTGCTGCTGTGTTCTTTTGATACTGTTTCACAAGTCATTACTATAACTAATTGTCCACACATAATTTCAAAAGGTATTTGCATTCTGAATAAAAACTGGACTTTGTAAAACAATTAAATACCACAGTGGCTAAACTGCAGTGGCTAAACATTTTATGTATAACTGCTTTGACTTGTCAAGATTTTTTACTACTGGGTTTGGGCAAAGTCACCATGTATTTGTGGAAAATCTGATATAATCTGATATAAAAATCTGATAACTCTGTTAGGGTGGGGGTTCCCTTGCACCAGGTAACGATAATTTCAGAGCTTAGCTGGCTGGTCTTACCTGTTCCTTAGATTACCCCAACTTTGTGATATGTGTAAGTCTTCTAGTTCATGGCTTAATTTTGGGGGGCCTATAATAGGAATATTTGTACTCCTAGTATATAGGATTCTGAAATCCTTTTTTTACACAGTAGCTTCAGAAATATATGGGCTAAACAAGAATTCCAAAGCAGCTTTAGTTCTGCCTGTTTCTTGAGTATGGAGTGCTTTTTAAAGAGTCTTAAAACTTATTCTACAGTTAGAATTTTTTTGTCTGAAGTTTTGCAGTTTCTATACTTTGTTTCAAGTGTGGGTATGGAGTTTATATGAATTTGCTGATTTGAAGCGATACAGGTTAAACAGTTAATTTAAATTACCGGTTATTGTAAGTAGTAGACATAAGAGATATTTGTTGAAAGGTTGGTTCTCCTCAGTTTGTAACCCTTCATATACAGATGTGCAACTAGCTACAGCTTTTACATTATATTTGGTTCTTCCTTCTGACTATCCGTAAAAATGCACTGTATTCACATTTAAACAACTTTGCAGGTTGTTAAGAAATTATTTAGATTAATGTTTTTTTACGTTATGACAGTAGAAATTCTGACTGGTATTTGTTTCCTTTTTTTTTCTTCTCACTTTGTGTCAAGCTGCATTTTGATAGTAATGAACCGCAACACTTTAAAGTTACAAGTTATGTAAAATTATGCTGAATGTGCTGCATACATATGCAAAAAGTTAACAAATGTTATTAATTTAAAATTAACTGATTAAATAAACGAAGTATCTTCTGTAGTTAGTGAGTTGTGCGGAGATTTCTGGTTGTTGTCCTTTCTTATACCAAACAAGTTTCAGGCTGTCATTTCATGATCACTCTGTTGGTGCTGCTGTCCTGAGAAAAACAAACAGACAAAACAAACCAGTTGTGCTTGCTCCAATATTACTCCTCACTCTGGCTGAAGAAAATACTCGAGTTAAGCATGACCAGGTAATGCTGAGTTATGCAAAATTCAAGTCATCATCAGTTGTGGCATCATTCTCTCACAAGAATAAAACTCCTAACTTGTTTGTTAGTATTAAATTAATTGCAAATTATTTAAAGAGCAACTGATGTTAAGTGGAATAAAAGAAATACCTTTATTACTTGCAAGAACAGTTATCAGCATTGCAGGTGAATTTTATCAGTTCAGCACAAATGGAATTTACATGCTTTGTGGTGATTCTAGATTTACGGTCCAGTTCTTTTTAAAACTGCTTGATATTTGATGATAGTACATTTAGGACTCAACATTTGTTGCCATAATTTCAAATGCAACTAAAAGTACATTTTCCCCTCTAATTACAAATTATTATGTATCTTATTACTTGCCTGAATTAGGCTCTTGCACTACAGATTATCATCCTTTCCTGTTCTAAGAGCTTTCTCCAACGTACTCAGCATTTTCCTTACTGTTGGTATCCCCTTTCGAATCTCTTCTCAAAATGCCACCTTTTATTCAACTTAACTGTTTATGTTAAGACAGCCCTACTCTGCTGACAGGCCTCTCAATCTGTACTAGCAGCCAAGCCAGATGCCCCAAAATGTGTTTCTCAGGTGCCCTCCCCCAAATATAAAGTCTTACTGCACAGACTGCACCTTACAAGCTGAAATGCAGTGCTGTGGAAATACAGCTTGATGGTTCCTAGACAAAAAAAGGTTGCAGAGTCAAGCAGAGCCACGTTTTTACCCTGTTCGTAAAGCTGTGTCTACAATAGCTCAAGTTGTGCCTTGTTTTGCAGGGTGACTGTTGACTAGCCATTGTGGGGTTTATCTGCCTCACCTGTACACTGTTCGTAGGTGGCTTCTACCTGAGAGTGTTATGCTGCAGTCCCTGCCTTTAGTTGTGTAACACTTGAGAGGGTGTGCAGCAGCTGAGGTAAAAGTGCTTGGTACTACCTTCATCTCAGCAGGAGCTGGAAAGAGCTGCACAAGCTTTGAGATTTGCTGCTGTCCTTTCCTGTTGGGACAGTCCTTTCCTGCCATCAGCATGGGTAACAGCAGATCCTTTTGAAGTTCAAATGGAAAATTTCCATCTCCCAAAATCCCTTTCAGGGACTCCAAATAAATTATAGAGAGGGAAAAAAAATGAAAAAAAATTAATAAATAAAAGCCAAACAGAACTGAAGTTCTTGTCCCAGAGAAAGGGCCTGCAATTGATCCACCCCCATGCAAGCAGGAGTGGTGTTTTTCTTCCTTGAAAAGTGCTGTGGGATTTATTAACATGGTGAGAGAACTGAATATGGTTCCCAGGGCTCCAGATGGCACCTGCCAGATGGGAGCTCATATTTCTATGTCTAAAGATGCTGGCATTGATGGCATGGTGTTTGAGAATGATGGATTTTCTCACTAGATAATGGTTTCAGTAAATGGTCAAGTGTCTGCAAAATTATTTTTATCTGGTAAAAATATGCCCTTCTGAGTATGGTATTTGATAGTGGGGTTTGGTTTGTTTCCTTGGCTGAATGTACAAATCTCTCAGTTTTGCTAGATCAGCAGAGAAATCATTGGCTTCTAGATCTGATTCCTCCTTCCAAAATGGTTTTCTTATTTAGATCCACCGCTCTGCAGAGTTCCCATTTGATATTTGTATGTATTTTTGCTTCAGAATCTTTGACAAAACCACTAGCCCTTGTTGCCTGACTTCATAAGAGGGGTCAAGATCAGGAAGTTCTGTCTTCATGAAGAAAAGGCATGTTAAAGTGTCTTGGTTTAGGCCTAATACGACAACAAAGAAACAGCCATGTGGCTTCTCAGCTCCCTCTCCCCAAACACACACACACTGTGGGATGGGGAGGACAAAGGCCAACTAGAAGTTCATGGGTCGAGACAAAGTTCAAGGAGGGTTCTTCACCGATTATGGTCACAGGCCAAACAGACTTGGGGCAAAATAATAATTTAATTTCACACTAATCACACACACACAGGACACAGACAACACAAAGAGCAGGGCTTGCATATGTTACCCCACCCCTCCCTTCTTCCTGGGCCCAAATCACTTTGTTCCCAGTTTCTCTCCCTCCTTTCCCCCCAGCAGCACAGGGGGACAGGGAATGGGGTTTAGAGTCAGTTCACAGGCTGGTGGTTCCTGCTGCTCCTTCCTCCTCAGGAAGAAGGATTCCTTACAGTCCTTCCCTGCTTCCCCACAGGATCCCTCCCATGGGAGAGAGTTCTCCACGAACCTCTCCTTCATGAATCCTTCCCACGAGGTCCAGAGCTGCTCCAGCCCGGGCTTCCCACAGAGTCAGGGGCTACTTCGGGAACAAACTGCCCTAGCACCCGCATCTTCCAAAGCTGTGCAATCGAGTCCACTGGCAGCAAATCCTCTGGCCACAAAATCCAAGTCCAGTGGCCAAGTTCATCCCTCCTGGCGCCTTCAGGGAATGTTCCCCCATGTTTCTCAATGAGTGCAGGGGCACAGCTGCCATCTCACCATGGGTTGCAGGGAAACTTCTTCTTGGGCACCTTCTTCCCCTTCTTCCTCACCAACCACCAGCACCGCTCTCCTTCCCCAGCACAGCTCCTCTCCTTTAAGTCCTTCTCTGCTCAGGTGTTGTATCAGTTCTTTCATATATTAATCGCTGAGGTGCATCTATTGTCTCTCTAATGGCTCCCTGGCTGGGGTTGGAGCTGGGGGAGCTTCTCAGCTTCTTACCAGAGCCACTCCTGGGGCCCTTCCCCTGCTAACAAAAAAACCCAATGAAC